ATTCAGGTCTATGAAGAATATTAAACAGTATTTTAGAAAAATGAACAGTATTTTATTTATTTATGTTTTAAAAACATATTTTTTAGAACTTTTCGCACAACTTACTAATTTACAATCTTTTTTAAAAACTTCATACGCCTCATCACAACCATAACTGAAATTAAAATAAATGAGGAGCTAATTTTTTGTTAAATTAATAGATGCTCTATTTCTATCCTCCCGCCACTTAGCATTCATTACTGAAAAAAGTCTTTCAGTAAATGCTGAGGTGGCGGGAACAGAAAGTAGATATGAGACAATTTTAGTTATGTTTTTAAATTCTTCTGAAGTGTTTACTAATAAATGGCTCCACTTTTGGTCAGTACTCATTTCAAGAAAATCTTTGTCACCTGATAATTTTTCATAAATTACTTTGAAATTTGTTAATTCTGAATATAAATCATCCATACCAATATTGATACAAATTTAGATTATCTATAATTTTCTCAAAATGATCAAATGTGACAGAAGACTTCAATGACAAACAGCTAATTAAAGAAAGCCAGTTAGTCTGACTGAAATCGAACCATTTCTCTAAATACAAATTAGCCTTATCAATAAAAAGTATGAAGTTATTAATGGTTCTATTATAAACTTCTTGGACAGACTCTGTAATAGTATTTAATACTTTTTTTGTTTCATGGCCAAAATACTTATCATTTTGGTTTTAAACTAGCTCAGTCTTTAAACCAGTCATAATGTTATAAACATCTAAGATAGTTACATTATTTCCTTCTAATTTTTTAAATTGATTTGTTTGTGGCTGCGCTACACTGAGCAGTGAGCGCCCTCTGACTAAATAAAAACAAATTTGTGTGAGCGTCTAATAACACATAATGTGTTAGCATTTTGATTCAACAGTAAAAAGTATAATTTATTAAAAAACAGTATTATACTGTTTAAAACATTATGGTTGGCAACCCTAACTATAATACTACTATAGTTAAACCGCCGTAAGCTTGGCCCTCCTGATGGTTTGGGGGACGCGGGGCGGGGGTGCATTCAACCAATTAGCTAGTGCGTCGCTGTCCGCCGGCAGTGACTGACGTGAAAGCATGGCTGTACGTGTTATTTTTCTTAAGACTGCTACACAAGGTATTATTTTGCAACATGGATAATCTGCCGACTCTGCGTCACAAAAAGATTTAAAAACTTGAAGTTCGGCTTACAAAGGTTCTACTGTCAAAGTTCTAATAAAGAATATTTATTATTTTACTTAATTTTTAAAATTGTATCTGAACATAATTTACATGATGAAGATAAGGTGATTTTATTAAAATTATTTTACAGTATTAAATTTTACAATTAATCATAAAAACTTACAATACACTGACATTATAATACATGGAAATAAATTTGATTTTTATTACATCGTGTGTAGATTAAATCTCAAACAAATAAATCTGAAGATATCGAGTTAGTACATCGTGTCATGTATAGCCGAGCGCATCACCCGCCCCGCGTCCCGCAAACCATCAGGAGGGCCAAGCTTACGGCGGTTTAACTATAATGTACTGTACTCTAAGCGGTCGGCACGACGCTTACTACTACGCTCAGTGTTGTGGGTTCAAACCCCACATGGAACGATACTTTGTGTGATACACAAATTGTTGTTCTGAGTCTGGGTGTTCTTTGTGTCCTTTTTAAGCCCCAAAAACATGTTTTTAAGACAAATCTTTAAAATTCTCGAATTGTCTCTAGTGCATGTGTTATACATATAAACCTTTGTTTTGAATCACTCTCTCTATTGGTGACAACCGTATTAAAATCCGTTGCTTGTAAGACATACATGCCCGTAACTAATTTCACCAGCTAACGTTATGACCTTTTGTTACAGTCAGTAAACTCATTTTGTTTCAAATCTACCCTCAAATTTCAGTGATTACTAGTTGAAAATATGTTATCATTGACTTGTATTCTTCAAAGCTCGTTTGTTCTCACTCATTATATTCACTTATTATAACAAAATTGCCATAAATTCTCAAAACAATTACTGTGACGTTTCTTGAGTTTTGAACTTGCATCAACGTTAACCACACCGCCTAGTTACTATAATAATAATAAGCATCTTTATTGGTTCTTTACATTCATTTTCTTTAAACAGAGGGTCTCATTTTAAGTATTAAATACTTGTGATAGGGGACTCCATCTTGTACAAAAACAAGAATAAAAAACCCAAAAAAATAGAATGAAAAAATACATCCACATTACAATTACAACAACAACTTTTCAACATTATCATAATAATAAACATAAACATAAAAACTCTATTCTTTGTAACTAAAAGTAACAAATGGCACAGTAGAATATGGTTGATAACGACTGCTATAGTTCATAACTGTGTTGCAGCCATTAACGCCCACCTCCGGAAGATAAGTTACAGGTTTCAAGTTTCATCATGCTTGCTGAATATAAACCAAATCAAAGTTAGAAATTAATTTAACAATGGATGGCGTAGTGGTTTGTGTAAAGGACTGCTATTCCAAAGGTCGCGGGTTCGATTCCCGCTCAAGTCAAACATTTGTGTGCATGAACATTTAATGTTTGATTTGGTCTGGGTGTTTCTATGTATAATAAGTATGTATTTACAAAAAAAAAAGTATATATGTATTTATATCAGTTGTCTAGTACCCATAGTACAAGCTCTGCTTAGTTTGGGACTAGATGGCGTTGTGTGAATGTGGTATAAAACAAAAAAAAAAAAAAAATTAACAATGTTGTAAAAAGTATGGGTCAGAATACGTAAAATTGTTAGTGTGTGTGTGTGTTTGTGAGCGCGTGTGTGTGTGTATGTGTGCGTTTGTGTGTGTGCATATGTGTGTGCATATTTGTGTGTGTGTGTGTGCATGTGTGCGTTTGTGTGTGTGCATATGTGTGTGTTATGTGTGTGCATATGTATGTGTACATGTGTGTGTCTTTGGGCCTGTGTTTCCAAAACTCATCAATTAAAGATTGATCGAATTTCTCATTGAGGTCGTGTCAGGAGACGTTCGGTATCATTATAATTTAGGGCAAGCAACCACTGCGTTACTTTATGTTTACATTCACGAAATATACAAGGGTAGATACGCAACACCTTATTCACCTTGTTATATAATACGGGAGCCAAATAATAATAGTGCCTTTTCGACAGCTCCAATCTACAGAATTCCACATCACATACTTTGTCATTCCTTCTTCTATTAGGATTCAACTTATATTGTAATTCCCTGTGTTTGCGTAAGATCATATTTAATAAGTACAATTTTCTTACCGTAAGGATATTCAATTGACTATATGTAAGTCGACGGTGGAATAGCGGATAGGTTTAAATGTCATAACCTTTAGTACTCCTCTCTGAGCTCTTTCCAGAGCAAGGAGCTTATTTTTACCAGTACCACCCCAGGCGCTTATACAATACGATAGAACAGACTGAGCAAGAGCGTAATATACCATTTTTAATGTATGGAGGTCAAGGGTTGTTCTTAGATTTTTAAAGACAAACATCAGCTTTCTAATTCTGATGGTAGTAATTTTTAAGTGCTCTTTCCAGGAAAGGTGGCTTACTTTGGTTACATTAGTAATCTGCAGGCAAGAACAACTTAAATTTTGGGCACATAACTCACTATGAGCCGTCAAAATTATAGAAGTAGACAATGAGGTACACTTTGGCGCGAAAGTAACAAAGTTGGTCTTCTCCACATTTAAGGTTGAGATATTTTTGGTGGTAATAGTACACATAGCTGCTTGAGCGTACCGAGTTGTTTCTGTCCAGGTATCACCGTGTACCAGGAGAACAGTGTCGTCAGCGTAAGTAATAATCTTGCACTTTGTAAGCACAAGTTTACACAGATCGTTCAGAAATATTAAAAACAGGGTTGGGCCAAGGACGCTACCCTGAGGCACACTGAACACCACTGGTTCCAGAATCTAAGGTTATAAGCCATTCCATCAATGTCTCTTTTACATTTTTTAATTTCATTTGGTATATACGAGTATTTAAGATTTTGTTTGTACAAATGAGCTGCCTGCACACTGAGCTGTCTCTTAACAAAAATAGATTTGCAGCCATTAACTTTCACAACAGCGTAACTTCGTCTATAGTCCATCAACGTCGTGTGCGACCGTCCTGCGGGGTGACAGACGGTGGCGGGGACGAGGTACTCAAGATGTCAGTGGGTAGCGGGTGGTGTAGCGGGGAAGGGAATCGTGTGTAGCCGTGTGCTAGAATGACACGCTACCTCGCCCCCGCCACTGTCTGTCACCCCGCGGGATGGTCGCGCACGAGATTGCCTGGTTGTAGTTACAAAATCTTTGGGGTTACAAGGTAATGTTTTATGTGTTTTGAGTGTGGATTTCATTACATAAAGTTTTCTTATTGTCAGGACGTTAGCCCTTGAGTAGAGCGTAGTAGTTGGGTTGGTTGGGCAAATTATACATATCTTAAATCAGCGTTGGGTTCTTTCTAACTCAATAAATCTTGTTTTGGCAGCACCGCCCCAAACCAGAATACAGTATGCTATTACAGATTCAACCAGTGCCATATATATTCTATTAAATACAAACTCTGTCGCAATATGCCGTAAAGCTTTAAAATCCACATTCATTTTCTCAATCTAGTTAAAACCTGTTCCAGATGACTATAACAGTTTAACCTATCGTCAATTATAACACTTGTTAATATACTTGACGCATGATACTTTATTAGGTATGGGATAGTAGTTTAGTAATTTCTAAGCAAAGTGAGTGGTAAGCCTCGAATTCCTATATTTTCAAGCATGTAGCATGTGTGTGTGTGTGTGATATACATTAATCGAAGGTCGTAAGAATGGAACTGGACTTATGACCGCGACCATACATTAGCGTCAACAGGTAGTATATCTAAAAATAAACTCAAGACATGGTATAGATAACATTTATTTTTTAACGTATATACTTGAAGCCATGCTCATTGACACGTTAATGGAACGTTCCTTCTTCCTCTATACGACTGTCATCATATCATTACCGGGCAAAGTGCTGGGATCTATTTCCATGAAGACGGGTTGATTGTTCAGGCTGCATGAACAGTAACATTTACCCTTAGGTGAGCCATCTTCTACCATCAACATCTTCAAGTTTAAGTCACCTCCAATTGCTTGCTCGAAGTCTGAAAAGTATTCAAATGATGAACTTTAACTCCATACTTGATTGTAGAACTGCTAATTGGTGCTGTGTTGAAGTATGGAAGTCAAAAGCTAATGGCGGGTTATTTCTACTTGTCTCGAAGGGAAAAAGGCAAATGTGTGTATTTACTTCAAAACTATTAAGTTTGACATTTAAAATGTGGTTTTTACAAAGGTTTTTTATTTAATTTAAGATGGTTTTTATCAACTTGGATTTTCTAAAACTATAATGAATTTTTATATTTTTATAGAACGTTGAAACGGCAACGCTTGTAAGTATATACATAAACGTGTCGCCTGTCGATTATTATGAACAAACTATGTCAATCGTTAAGCCACGTGGCATCTGCGTCACACCTAGAGAAGTATAATGATATCTGAAATTTAATATAGGTACATACTACGAAATCTTCTACGAACCCTGAATCCTCTGAATGTATTTTTAAATTCTTTTTTAGTCCGAAAATTCGCTTATCCCTCGAGTAGACCTCACCAGTTACAATACTTTTCAAGTATCCCCGAAAGACATGTCTAAACGAAGATAACTACTCTCTAATTTTTCTACATAATTTATAATCAAATAGTCAATAGTTCCTATAGTTACGCTTCCACTTACCTTACATTTCTGAAGTTTTAGCTGCCAAAAGTCCTTTTTGTCCATTGTACTAAACAGCTAAGAAGGTACATAAGCTGGACTGGACTTTCTTGACCCTGTGACCCTTCCATGTGAATCTTCGATATCTAGAACTTTACTAATAGATTCAAGCAGTGGAGGTGCCTTACGACGCTGATTTACTGTTCGTAACAGTTATATGAAGTTTAAGAGGCAGGAGGTCCAGGTGTTAGAGTTCGAAATTCTAAGTAGTTATTTGATAAAAAACTTACTTTTTACGTATAGCATGCCAGATCTTATTTATACAATTACGTATCAAAAACACAGCTTTAGTTAATGCTTTAACAAATCTATATTATATGCGGAGAGTGTTAAATGGTGAATCTTGCCAAGGTTGTCTTTATTTCCCAAGGCCTATTCCCAACCCTACCCCAATTGGACCAAAGCCTAAGTTAATCCCAAACCCTGGCCTGTTTGGTTTCTGTTGTGTTGGTGCTGGTGCTGGTGAGGGTGCTGGTGCTGGTGCTGGTGCTGGTGCTGGTGCTGGTGATGGTGCTGGTGATGGTGCTGGTGCTGGTGCTGGTGCTGGTGCTGGTGATGGTGCTGGTGCTGGTGCTGGTGCTGGTGATGGTGCTGGTGCTGGTGATGGTGATGGTGCTGGTGATTCTGCTGGTGACTCAGCTTCCTCGTATTCACATTGAAGTGGATCATCTAAGGCTACATCGCTTGGGCCATTGGGATTGTTTGGTAAAATGGGTGATACTATTTCTACAACCGAAGATGGTGGTGCGGCTATGACGGGCCTTGGTGTAGTTCTGCCTATGATATTTAACTTCGGAATAGAAATTAGACGACGTTGTCTGGACAATGTTTCTGTAAAGCAAAAGTATTCGAATTACATATATTATAAGTTACATAATTTTATCTGATTAAATATTCGAAGTTAAATCCATTTACTGAATTGATTTTCACCGTTCGCCAGTCCACTTCACTGAAGATAACTTTTACTCATGACTTATCTGTGAAGCGATTTAAATTAAGAATCATAAAACCTTCGATCGGGATTGTTATGATTCCAATCCTTGATCTAGTCGCTTCTCAAACAAAAAACTTAGCTCAAAATACCTATAATCGTTTAGAAATCATGGTGCCAATGCTACCCAGCGGATATAAATCAAATTACATAGAACATTTAAATGACAGTTCACTGCATCATCAACAGAGACAATTAACTTTTGAACCGGCAAACAACGTGATGTTACTTTATGTTTACTGGAAACTAGAAAGTGATTCACCTGATGATAAGTGTAAGTAAGTAGTACTCAGTTATTGCCACGAGCCACGAACATCTGTAACTGAAGAGTCGAGAGTCCTTTGCCGGCCTTTGAAGTAAGAGTACGCTACTTTCTTGGAGGCTTTAGGGTTGTATCGGTTCGAAAATACCGTACTCGAGACTTTGTTCCACATTTAAGTAAAAACGCTGTTTTAATTCCTATCAGTTTCCATTACCTAATGGAAAAAACCCTTTTGAAATTTTTTGTTCGTAGTTTTTATTAAGACGTACGTGCTATGACAGAAGTCATATCTACTGGATGTGTGTAGCTTGTTGTACTGGTATTTGAATTTGTTAAACATGTTGTCTAATAGTCCCAACTAAACGTTTTACTATCTTCCAGAAAAGCTTATAAATTTTAGTGACGTTTTAATATACAGCATAAAAGAAGGCGTAACAGATAATGCTGCTACTCGAGTAATTCCATCGCCAGTATGGAGGACTACAGAGTATACCAGTAATACGTGACCCACTAGTTTCTGTAACTACTATTGTGATTATTCTTTTATATAAAGAAAATAATTCGTAGTTTCGCCTAGTGGTTAGCGACTAGTGACTGCTAGCTGTTAAATCGTAGATTCGTTTCCTATTTATGACAAATATTGTGTGGTGAGCACGGTAATTTGTAGTTCCAGTAGTTTTTGCTTTATTTAGCCATATGGCCTTGTGACTTCTCTGATCTCCTTTAAAAACCATACAACATGACACCACTACTGGTGACTTTCAGTCAGACAGTCACCAGTTACAGCCTTGATCAGTAATTAGACTCAGCCAGGCAGCATGTTCAACATTTAAATAACATATCCAAGTACAGACCAATGAGTGACTTGACTCAGCACATGCACCTGATGCAACTATAGCTTTATCCAAGAATTAAAAAGAGAGAGTTTACATCTTGCTGCAGCCAGACACAACGTAGCTACTCAATTAATGTTTTGAAAACCACCATACATAGAGCTGAAAGAGAAGCTGATGATCCCTGGAGCTGAAAATGTGCTAGAGTGTAGGCCGCGGTTAGAGAAAAGTAGTGTAGAGCACCACGCGGTGTGATGAACCAACAACTTGGAGAAAGTTGCTGACAGCGTGTGGATGCGGACTGCCCAAGACCGGGATGGTTTGCAGTTCTTTGGGGAGGCCTTTGTTCAGCAGTGGACGGCGATAGGCTGATGATTGATGCAGAGACCTTCGTCTTAAAGGTACCAAACCAACTACAATACAATAAGATGACAACTCTGAAAATGGAACTAGCGGCATTCAGTTCCTGCTCACTCGAACGGCCTAAAACTTGAACGAACTTTAAAGGGACAATGTGTTGCCTCGCGCGACGCCTGTCCAGGGAAAACAAAACAAAATCACGCCGAAATAAATAGAATTGCTTCAAACTTCTATTGTTGTAGGAACAAACACAAATAATATTTATTAAAGCAATACAGACTTAAATGCGACACACCGCACAAAATTTAACTCCTGTATGTGTGTTTTTTCCTAAAAATATTAATGAGACGAAAGGAGAATAAAAAAAAATTCATATCGGTTCATAATTGAATTAAATCTGAAGTAAGAAACATAAAAAAACACCCACCCAGATTAAAAACACATCGATTGTAGACAATATATGTAACATCTGACAATGCTGGTGTTGCCGCGGTAGCTTCTTACCATCAATGTCCATCTGCTCCTATCATCTCTACACCTTTTCAGTACACACAAGCTACCATATGGTTGGCAGGGATTGGTCGATGAGTCACTATTTTCTTAACGCGAAAAGACGAAAGTATGAATAGTGATATAATATTTAAAGAAATATTTTTTATAAATTGACAGAATCTTCTTGATTAATGGTCATATTTCGCATTAAGAAACACAGCGATCTCATCCGATACAGAAACAATACCTGCGTAATAAAATGTAGTACATAACATGTATAATTAACTATTATAACAGTATCACCACCTCCAATAAGCCATCATTCTAAATTGTAGTAACTTGTATTAATTCCTCAATTTTCCACTTATATGGGTGTTTTTTTTTACCCTTACAAATAAAAGAAGGCGTTCCAAATCGATTCATAAATTCACAGTATTTGAGGTAACAAACATAAACAAAACCTTTTCTAATAGTCGGTTAAAATAAGGATATTCAAAACTGAATTATATTATATCTACATTATCCAGTATATTAATCTTGTCTAAATAGAAAACAAATATTATTATGTATTTGAATTTTATCAATAAGTAAATTTATACATACGTTTAGAGTTGTTAATGTAAGCATCCGCCAAAGACGCGGCCGCCTGAAAATATAAGGTTTGTGAATTGTGGTGGCTACCACTGAATACTAATAAATGTAATGAACACAGAATGTGACGAGACACGCGTTCAAAAGTTGGTTAAGCACTTTGATTTTTACCTTCAAGGGTTTTTGATTTAGTACGCCATGGTATAATATATATAAATAGAAAGAAGAAAACACAAAAACTGACCAGTGCAGACAAACTAGATTTTGATTGAATTACTTTGAGTAACTTAAACGCTCGCTCGTTTCGATATAAACATTGATATTTGATTAAACCTGTTAATTATTTAACAGTCTTCGAAGCAAAATTTGCATTATTTTCTATTTCAGAAAAAAAATACAACAGGAATATATCAGTATATATGTATTTAAGAATACAGAGTGTCAGCAACCCTATTCATCCCATGGGTGTCGTAAGAGGCGACTAAGGGAGCAAACCACGCAGGGCAAGAGCACTGCAGAGAGAAGGAAAACTTGACACAAACCCTTTACCAACCCGTCTGGCCAGCGTGGTATAGTAGGCCAAAACCTCCCTTCTAAGGAGAGGCCTACGTCCAGCAGTGGACTATTAAAGGCTGTTGATGATGATGATGATATGTATTTATATCTGTTGTCTAGTACCCATAGTAAAAGCTTTGCTTAGTTTGGGGCTAGATGGCGTTGTGTGAATGTGGCACAATGTTATTGTTATTATTTATATGTTACTCCAGAGTTAAGTACTTTAATTAAATTATGTCATGACGTAGATTATACATTTTAAAAAGGTGACAACGTTTTGAAAATCATACCTACTTAGCAATTAGGTAATTATTCGTGTAGAGCAATTGTGTTTAAATATCTGAACATAAAGCCTTTTTAAGGTTTACTACTAACTACGCAATATGCACACTGTATTATTAACAAGAAACAAAAAAGGCCATGTGTCTGTGTGTGTTGTAAAAAATTCGTTGTCAATTTTTTCATCACATTGGAATTCTTTCCTATGTGATGAAATACCTAGAAATCAGAAAAAAAACAAGCCGGCGGTGCCGACAACAGTGAAAACTTAAAAATTTAAAAAAAATGATTATAACAGGAGTTTCTTTTGTTTTATTTTCTATCCGTAAAGTTCCGACATGAATATATATCTATTTGGTATCTATGTTTATATTATATATAGTCATATTTTCAATGTATTTCAACCCAAACTCAACTCCTGTATAAACAGGGCCAATATATGTATGTAGATACTTATATACAGAGGTGTCGGTAACGGTAACTGCCGGCGGCGATGGTTTTTCCCATCTAAAAAATTACATTATTTTGTTTGTTGTTCCAAAATGCCAAACGAGCCTAAAGACTTACTTCAAAAAGAAGATTTACTTCAAAAAAGAAATTTCTCTTTCTCATAGAAAGACGTTAAACAATACAAAACGATAGGTTTGAACGAGAAATTCTCATGAAAGAATATTCAAGAACACAAATATTTCTATATTGAATCATTTTTGAGGTTAATGTTTTAAATTTTGAAGATGACAAAAAGGCGAGACTCAGTAGAAATTAATGTCTATACTAAAAGAAAGTTTGAATAGAACTAGATACAAATAAGAAATATACTCACGATTAGTACCACCAAAACGATAGCAGACTTCATGATTCAGATACAATTGCCAAAACAATTCTGTTTCTATAGCTCAATGTATTCTGTGCCTCGACAATTGTTTAACAGCTATTTATATTAAATGAACATTTGTGCTAATAAGTCATTAACACGCAATTCGGTGGTACGTCATGACATCTGAACAAACATTGGCATAAGGAAAATTGTAATTCCATTGGAGGCTGCACCTGCAGCATCTTAAAATGAAATAGGGGTAACCATTCTAAAATATCAAAAATGCACAACGTTAATATTCAAGTTTTCACTTCTGCCGGCACTCCCGGAGTGCAACCCGTCGTTTTTTTTTATGATTATTATGTTGTCTATATGTGAATGCGGTGAATATTTGTAATTAGAGTACGCGTGAATTTCGTTTAAAACAATAATGTGTATGAATATTTGTGTTTATTCTATATATCTTAGAACCCTTGGAGATGGAAAGTCACATTTAAATACTGTTCCTTATACAAAAAAACGACGGGTTGCACTCTGGGAGTGCCGTCAGAAGTGAAAACTTGAATGTTAACGTTGTGCATTTTTGATATTGTGGAATGGCTAGGGAATAATTTTGCACGAATTGCTTTAATTATCAGTAAAGTACTATCATTTATGTGGTAGAATACAATATTTATTTATTGCGCTATCGTACACAAACATGACAATTTATCGAGACGCTGTCACCAGCCATGGACGCGTATGGCACGCTGTAACATAAACACACACGAACATTCGCGCAAGCGCCCTTGCGCCGCCTAAACGAAACAGCAGGCGCAGGCATACATTTTCGCCGCGCTGTAGAAAGAGAGGGGGATACTTCCTCTCCTACTCCGCGCCGGCTGTCTACTCTCCATCCGTCGTACGAATTTTAGATCAGGTCACGTGTCCTGACGCGAGTTTAACATTTTTTACCCATTACAAAAAAAGTGTACAACGCCGCTAAAGAAGTTTTCACTTCAAAAATATTGATTCGTTAAATGCAGATTTTTCTTTATCGTCTAATTATAGTAAGACTTCTAAAGCTAATACCTTACAATATCTTTCGCCACTTCCAACTCCTGACTTCTTCCCGTTCTTTTTTCATCAAATTACTGCTTGTGATGTTAAGAAGTGTATCCTGTCCATAACTTCCAATGCTGTCGGAAGTGACTGCATGAGTCGTAATATGATTCAACCTATTGTCTATGAAATCCTTTCGATCTTTTGCCACATTTTAAATCACTCCCTCACTAATAGTGTATTCCCCGATACCTGGAAAGAGGCACAGATAATTCCCCTTTTTTTTCCGTGCGGAAATTCCCTCGGATACCACCGGATATCGGTGGCATGTCGGACACAAACCAACTAAAACCGCACGCCGTCTTGGGTACTAATAGCCGGGGAACCAGGTATACCCTAGAAACGAAGGCCCTGGTGCCCCGACATACCTCGGGCTATCTACAGACGAGTAGACCACCCCCCCGTGTGGGACCCCATGTTCCCTCTGCTCCCTGGAAGCTAGCGCGCTTCGCAACGCGCTCGCCGCCACCCCGGCCTGCTTCTGCTAGGGTGACAGATGGCCTCACCTGTCACCCCCAGGCCTGACAGATAATTCCCCTACCTAAGAAAATATCGTCTAATTCCCTTATTGTCCTTTCTTCTTACCTGATGCAAAATCAGCTTTTAAATCTCTATCAATCTTACTTCCGTACTAGCCACAGCCACATTGTATTATTTTTTGTATAGAAATAGAAGGCTAGAGAAATAGAGGCTTTTAATAGCTCTTATCTTTGCATAAAGAGCACGAAACGTAAACCTTCCTACCTGGTTAAATAATTTTAAGCAATATTGAGAGATATTTGACGAAATAAATTAAGCAAGGATTTTTTGAGACCTGAATTGGGTACTCACGAATATACAGTAAATTGTTATATATACGAGTATAAGTTGTAGGTAAGTGTAAGTTTGTTTTTAGTCTTGCAATGCACGCAGTCGAGTACACTTGCCTTTTATTTAAGACTAGCTGGGACCCGCGATGTTACCCGCGTTTGTTGTTATAACCGCGGGCAACGCTAGCGAAGCTAGTCTAAAAAAAGTAGCCTAAGTTACTCCTTATGTCATCAGGTATCTGCCAGTGAAAATCCAGTCGAAATCGGTCCAGCCGTTCCAGAGATTACCCGGAACAAACAAACAGACAGACAGACAAAAATTGTAAAAAATGTTATTTTGGCATATGTACCGTGTAAACATACATATGCATTTAGTAAAAGCGGTTATTTTAATGTTACAAACAGGCACTCCAATTTTATTTATTTTTATAGATAAACAATGCCATGAATGGGTACCGAAAGGATATTACAAACACCCAAACGATCTTCATTTATTTAAAGAGCTGTAATAATCAGTTCAGTTGCTTACTTCCGTACTAGCCACAGCACGGTAAGCGCACTGATCAATATCACTGATAATATCAGGCTGAGTATGGAGCACGGTAAACTTAAAGTACTCTCCCTACTCGATTTCAACAATGCGTTTAATACGGTAGACTCCGACATCTTACTAAGCATTTTACACACTATTAACATATCTCCAACGGTGATTGACTGGTTTCTAAGTTACCTGTTAGGGCGAAGGCAGCGCGTTGAGGAATCATTTTCCTCATGGTGCAATTAATAAAAATCTTGCTTTTAATCATTTTTATTAAAACTATTTCAAATCCTTACTCTCATTCTACCACTATTACGCAGATGATCTTCAAATTTATACGCAAGCTCCATTAAACAAATAGTATGAAGCTTTCTTTTTTATGAACTTGGATTTGGCGCGAGTGTGTAAACGGAGCAGCTAGTATGGACTAAGTTGTTAATCTATCAAAAGCCAAAGTCATTGTTGTCCCACGATGTACTCTAAAATAAACTGGTCTAAATTACATGATATCAAATTCAATGACGTTGTACTCTCGTTTAGTAGTTGTGTTAAGAACCTAAGCATTTTGATTTCTTTAATAATACTTAACAGTACGTACATAGTACTTACGGGCTCATTACGAAGAATTAGCAACTCTACCAATAGTCTGAATCCCTGATTCTTCCTATACTCGATTACGCTATTGTCAGCTATCTCGACATCACTGAGGAGCAACTTGATAAACTTAAGCGCCTTCAAAATTTCTGTATTAGAGTAATTTTTGGTTTACGCAAATATGATCATGTGACTGAATTTCGTAAATTGCTCAAGTGGCACTCAATTTAAGTTTGTCGAAATACACATATTCTTTATATACTTTTTAGTATCTTATTCAATTCATCTACCCCACCTTACTTAAAGGAACGTTTTGTGTTCCTCAGATCACACATCTAAGATCCTTGAGGTCGTCGGAATCTTTGGAGCTAATGGTACCAAACCACAATACCATATTCTATGGCAAGGCAGTGCAGGCTGTCAGATTATGGAATCTTGCCGATATCTATTAAAAAGTAGAGGTTTTAGAGCATCTACGAGTTTAATACGATCATAAGCAAAGACATTTTTTTTTGCTTTTCACCGGGTGAGTAAAGTTTTCCGAGCCCAACTAGCCCAAATCTTCTCTTGATTTTAGGTCGGAAGCTTAAAGGACATAAATGCACTTATGACTCTTGACTTTGCAGGTGTCCACTTATCATCAGGTGACCAATCTGTTCGTTAGCCCCCTATACTATTAAAAAAACAATCGAAATTGGAATTTTTAGATCATGCTGTATTCGCAAGCATCGTGAGTGTCGCAGACACAGAATCTATATGAACAGATGCTCTTAAAATTAACGGAAGGTCGTGGAAAATTAAATATCGAAAACTTTCTTAACGTAGATGTTTCATGTTTCACTTCCGGGTAAGTATATTTAGCATTGGAGTTAATAAGTACGGCTAGCCGTGTCACATCTTATATCTGATAAAAATTTATTCATAATCATAATCATATTTATTTGCAAAAATATTGTGACAAATGGTGTTACAATGGGTAGTAGAAGATACAAATATTTTTTACCAGAATAGTGGCATGCAAAAACTTTAAATAAAATCAAAATATTTATGTCAATGTAAAAAAAAAAAATATTAGGTCAATACAAACAATTAAATAGGATGTCATAGGGCAGAAAAAACATATTGATAGTTTCAAGCTTAGTCAATTTTAAAATGAAAATAGTAAGTCAACTGTCATCCAAATGAATAATAGGGAATATGCACGTGACACCAAAATGGACAAAATATTTTTATTTGTAATTTTTATTGCTAAAAAAGATACCCATACAATTATTTTTGAAATTTATTATAATTTAATAGTGAAATTTAATCATCATGATGACTCATTATGATGAGGGTACGCATAAAATCCACCAGTCAAACTGCTTTTCAATAAAAGAACAATTTATTACTTTTGGATTTATATTTATTTACAACTTAAAAAAAATATCTTACAAATATTTGATCTCAATACAGTAATTATCTTTACATAACCTATACCTACAGAATATTATGCGTTTTAATAAAAATCTCGTATGGCTCCGGTAGTAAACGGCCTAAAATGATTGATGAATGTTTTAAGATGTTATAGTATATGGAAAGCCATGTATTTGTGACCAGTTGTCATTCCCAAAGGGTGGTCACTAACGCACTGCCAACCCTTATGTTGCAAAACGTTTGTAGACTCAGTATGGATGAAAGTCCAGGCTGTGTGATTGTTTGCCAACTTAATAGTATATAGCTGACAACAGGATATGATCTCTTTTTGTTTATTTTTTCTATGTTTAGTCAATTCTTGGTACCAAGTTATGTTTTCTTATTATTATTGCATGTATTTTCGTAGTAGCAAATTAAGGAATTGAAATATTTATAGTTCATCAACGTCGTGTGCGACCGTCCTGAGGGGTGACAGACGGTGGCGGGGACGAGGTACTCAAGATGTCAGCGGGTAGCGGGTGGTGTAGCGGGGAAGGGAAACTTGTGTAGCCGTGTGCTAGAATGACGCGCCTGTCACCCCGCGGGACGGTCGTGCACGAGATTGCCGGGTTATAGTAATTCTTAAATACATATCAATGTTGGCTAGACGTTTTAAATTTAACTAGATCCTTTAGGATGTACGGGCAGCAATTCGAAAATGTTCATAATAAATAATAAGTCTATTGAAATTTAAGAGTATTTGCATTGTCAGTTAATATTGACACAATATGGCACATGATGAATTTTAAATTATTATATTAATGTAAATTTTGCTGTATCATTTAAATAATTAATTACACAAATGCTGGAATACAAATAACATGAACGAAATGATGAGGTCGCGTTGCTGATGTACATGGTTATTGGTAGGAAGCAATCTTGAGTATAACTTTAAGAATAATAATAATAATAATCTACCACATTCACACAACGCCATCTAGTCCCAAACTAAGCAGACCTTGTACTATGGGGACTAGATAACTGATATAAATACATATATACTTTTTTTTTTGTAAATACATAGAAACACCCAGACCAAATCAAACATTAAATGTTCATGCACACAAACGTTTGACTTGAGCGGGAATCGAACCCGCGACCTTTGGAATAACAGTCCGTTACACAAACCACCACGCCATCCGGTCGTCAAATATAATATTTCATGCTTTGAGAGATGGAGAAAGGGTACATGACAATTCAAACACTTTACAATTATTTCAATTAATTTCTTCTGCGATATTTAAAAAATAGCAGAATCTATACTAATATTATAAAGCTGAAGAGTTTGTTTGTTTGTTTGTTTGAACGCGCTAATCTCAGGAACTACTGGTCCGATTTGAAAAATTCTTTCAGTGTTAGATAGCCCATTTATCGAGGAAGGCTATAGGCTATATATCATCACGCTAAGACCAATAGGAGCGGAGCACCAATGAAGAATGTTTCAAAAACGGAGAAAATTTATTTCTATTGAGAGACGCAGACGAAGTTGTCTAGTCTATAATATTTATACACATTCTACTTGTACTAAGTTGGAAAAAGATAATGTGTAACTTAATAAATGGCTATTGGTATTAACCCTGTGGTGTGTGATCTTTTTCAGTAGCAGTAAAACACGTTGCCTTAACGAAGAAGGTTTACATTGGTTTCAGTTAGGGAGAATACTCTCTATGTCGGGACAATAGGGACTTCCTTTCTAGGGTATACCTGGTTCCGCGGCCATTAGTACCCGAGACGGCGTGTGGTTTTAGTCGGTTCAAGTCCGACATGCCTCCGATAGGTGGTATCCGAGGGGATTTACGCACGGAAAAAAAAAGGAGAATACTCTAACACGAGCGGGAGCTAAAAATTCGATAAGATGTACTAAACGAAAAACCCATCTAAACGTGACACTTCGATAGTAGTTTATATTAAGTAACGTGCATGCAAAATCTTTATCAAAAGTTTGACATTTCATGCTATTTTAAAAGCATTTTAATAGCATTACACCTAAAAGTCACACTGAGTGAGGTATCTGATAGCAAAACTGTGGATTCCTGTGATTTTTGTACAGTTTATTTGTGTGTAGTCATTTGGGTTTTTTATTTGAAAAAATGTATGGTATAATATCGAAGAGTTAAAACCATAAATACCTATTTCGGAATTGACTTCTTCAAGTTATATATTTTTACAAAGACTGCTGTAAGACTTATACGTGTAACATTTGTTTATTGTACTTAACAGTGAATCAGTATAATATTTTAAGTAATTAAACTATGGCGAATTCAGTACATAATTCCAAAACGTTGGTTTATAACGATTACAACAAATCACATTCTCTTAAATACCTCACTCATTCGAAAACCCTTAACTGCTTGTCTAACACAGGAATTCCTCACTGTCAATTAATTCACACTGTATAAGTTTTCTCATGATATCTCCCTCCTCTATGGTATCTGACTCTTCTGTACTTTCGCAACGGGCACCTGCCAAGCGCTCTGTCGTACACTCCGTATTCACAAGAAGGAGGAGTGCAGTTACCAACTTGCACGCAGACACGGTCCCGGAGACCGAAGTGCTCCTTCCCCTTTGCCAATGACTGGCAGTCCCGACGGCGGCTCGCGTCAGGCCAGTCGCACACACATGAACACCGAACAGTGTCTGTCATGCTGGCCAGGAAAAGCCCCGGACAAGTACATCTGAAAATACAAAAATGAAAATGTATTAATTCTATAGGTACTTACTACGTACAAGGTACTTAGGTATGCCTTGCACTTGACTTTTAGGCCTTTTACTGGTTAAGTCGACCTAGATACTTTAGGGGGTTGCAGTTGCCCTTATTCCTGATTTTACTATGAAATACTAATCCTTACCTATCTATTTCCAAGATATTTGACTTTTAAGTTTTTTTTTTAAAAGACCCGAAATTTTGCCTAATACAATTATTTTTTTAAAATTCTATTTTTTTTTTTTGTACTGTTTGTGTCGTTTCAACTAAATCTCTAAACTAACAGACAAACGAAATGGATAGTTTATAATAACAAAACTAATTCTTTGACGAATATTTAAAAAAAACTACAACAGTTAAGTTGCAGATATGTTAAAAACATGTACGTATTGCTAGCTATCTAAATGGTTGCGATGGAAGAATTTTACGTCTTTATTCAAAACTGGTCACGAACGCACGCAATGTATCCATTTTAAATGTGTATTACACATCAACAGCCTTTACTAGTCCACTGCTGGACATAGGCCTCTCCGTAGAAAGGAGGTTTAAATGTGTATGCCAACCAATAATGATGAAAGGTCATACAAAGACAATAAACTCGTCTGTCGCTGGTAGTAAATCTTTATTGAATTGTATCTGGTTTCGAACAAAGAAATAAAGTTCATCTAGGTTCTTCTGTTGCAACCCATTGGGGATAAAGACCAATATTTCTTGTAACGTAACTGGTTACGAAACTAAGTTGCAGTGGAGCCCGGAGCCAAAATTGCATGCTGAGAACATCATTTTAAATATTTCATACTTCAACGGTGTTAAATTTTTAACAGAATAAGCATGTTTTTTATTCTCCGTGCCACAAGATGAATTCTAGTTATAATGATATTTATTTCAATGGGAATGATGGCATTTCCATAGTAGTAACTCCTGAGCAGTCCGATCAATAGCAGTGACACACGTAACTATAGTCCATCAACGTCGTGCGCGACCGTCCTGCGGGGTAATAGACGGTGGCGGGGACGAGGTACTCAAGATGTCAGCGGGTAGCGGGTGGTGTAGCGGGGAAGGGAAACACTTCTCTTCGTGTGTAGCCGTGTCCTAGAATGACGCGCTACCTCGGCCCCGCCACTGTCTGTCACCCCGCGGGACGGTCGCGCACGAGATTGCCGGGTTATAGTAAACAATCGACACTCACTAGTCTAAACAGCAAAAGGATTTAGCAAAATAGTATTTCATGATAATGCATTCGCTCTTAGCTTGCCTACGGTGTTTAAGATAATGCTGTTGGATTTAATGCTTTGGGTCCTCTGTTAGAGCTTACTGATCGCCCTACAAGAGGGTCCTGTCAGTGGTTGTTAAATAAGTTAATCGCGATCGAGCCATTTTTCGGCACACATGAGCGGTCTGGAGTGATACCATGATGCCATGATCACACAGAAAACCAGTCTTAAGCAATTCTCTTGTCGCTTTTATCGTCACTTTAAACCTTACTTAATTCTGCAGGCGGAGTGAGGGGGGAAGGACTAAAGGGGCACTTAAATCACTTATCGTACATATATATGAACAGCGGTAGTCACTTACCGCCAGATGTATGCACGTTTGCCGTGTGCGCCGTGTTTGGGGGGGCCATTTTTATTTTCATGTTATAAGCATTGTTTACTAATTTGTTTCCACCAGTATAATTGTAGTTTTATTTTTATTTTTAACATTTGAAATTGTGTACATTTAACAGTTTATTACTGAGTTCCGTTGATTTTTAAAAAATGTTATTTGATTGTGAGGTATGTGTGGAAAATGTGTGTATATTAAAAATTAAAAGTTCTCACAATTGTCATTCAGTAAAAAGATTAAAATTGTATCTAAAAGTAGGTGTGTACCCGAGTTACAACAATTAAACCAGCAAAAAGGAAATGTAACTCGCAAGTTTCATGTTAAAAGTTATGAAATGTATGGCTGTGTGGTTGTGTACACCCGATTAAATTATATTGTTTTCCTACTCCGCCGCATACCTAGTGTCATAATCCTGTGCACGGCCTCTAGCGCCCTCAGAGGATATTGGTGGTTAGAGGAATACCCGGTTATCGCACTGTTTCGACGGAGGTAGCTTGTGCGCTAGCCGGATCTTCCCGTGGAATTTTTAGGCGGAAGTGTTCATGGCGCTGGCCGCTGGCGGCATGGCCGCTGGCTGAGCTACGATGGCTCATTCGTCGTCCCGGCTGAAATTTCCACGTGCTGGTTTTGATGCCGTGGAGTGGCTCAGCCAGGCTTTCCTTCCAACTGTAGCTGGTCCTTTCCGGGCACGGCGGCTTCGGAAAGTAGCTGCACTCGATCGCCGGGAGGGAATTGAGTCCCGCCTGTCACCACTGCGATTGCAGTGAGGAGTCGGCTCAGCACAGGCTGGCAATTTGCCCGGCTATAGCATCGCAGCGGCGGATCCGCTACTGGCCATCATAATTATGCTACATGGCTGGTAATGACAGATGTTTCACAACGGTCACATCCTTCTGCGAAGACGTCATCTCAGGCGGCAGAGAGGGCACGGGAGGAGAACGTCCACTCGGACCCAATTCAACGCCGGGGAACCGGACAGCGGAGGCGCGCTTACCACCGCCTCATGCCGCACTGAGTGTAACGCGGGTGGACGAGGACGGGTTTTACCCTCCATCCGCAGACGTCTGCGTGCCGTACATCGCCTAAATAGAGAATTCACACGAAAATAGTGCCCGCGCTTTGCGAGCAGGTGCTAGGAGGGGTCCGGATGTCTTACGAGTATAACAACAGTTTCAGGTTCCCTCCTATTTCAGGCACAGAGTGGCACACCTTGTGGTTTAAGTCAGTCCGATTCCAACACACCGGCCGGCCCGAGGGGGTTTCCACGCGTAAAAAAGGGTTTGTTTTAAGTTTTGATTCTCTTTGCAGTACTGTTGTCCTGTGTAGTTAACTCCTTTAGTCGACTCTCACGGGATGAATAGTGTTACGTTGTAACAAAGTAAATACACAAACTTACAAAATAAATAAATAAAGAAAAAAAGATCATTACACACAGACCAACAAAGTAATAGTTGTTACGATCGAATGGAAACCGCGCGCATTAACTAGTGATAACATCATAATGACCATATAAGGTAATCGTCGGTATCGGGAGCCAAATTGTTCTAGAAAATGAGCGCCACAGTGTGGGTGTTTAGAAATATCGAGAAGTGATAGGCGGCCCGGAACAAGTGGCGCCCAACTTTAAAAGGCAAAACACATTGATGCTTTTTGGTACTCTTGTGGTGTCGGTATTTTTCAGCTCCAGATGGTAAGCTTTTGCGGACGAGGCTGAACGGGGTGGTACCACCGACCCGTTTTCTCCTTAAAGAGAACGGGTAGCTGATTATTGTCATCTGGCTCCGCCGGGTAATCAAATACCATCTCCGATTACCCACATACGCGTGAACTACACAGTGGGTAAAAACATAGAATTATTTCTCCAACATTTTTGTGTTGCACAGTGGGCATAAAACATTAAAAAAAAATCTACAACATTTTTGGGTCGATTTTTTTTATAACTGCATTCTGATTTTTGTGCATTTACATTTTATATTGACCATACCTTATATTGATAACCTCATATTGACCATATAAGGTAATCGTCGGTATCTGGAGCCAAATTGTTCTGGAAAACGAGCGCCACAGTGTCATCATCATCATCAACAGCCTATACTAGTCCACTGCTGGACATAGGCCTCTCCTTAGAAAGGAGGTTTTGGCCTACTATACCACGCTGGCCAGACGGGTTGGTATAGGGTTTGTTTCAAGTTTTCCTTCTCTTTGCAGTACTGTTGTCCTGCTTAGTGTGGGTGTTTAGAAATATCGAGAAGTGACAGGCGGCCGGAACAATAGGGGTGACACTACGTATTCTTAATTCGTCACCACACGAATAAAATTAAAATAAATTACAAATGCTATATCAAAGAGTGATAATAACTGTAGTTTATAGACCAAATCTAACAATAAAATGATACCTGCGCAATTGTGGAGGTTCAGTTGTTTCTTCTTCATCTTTATCCAGAGCTGGTTCCTGTGTCGGAGTCCTCCAATCGTTCTGACGTTCCACGATTCTTGTGGGTTTCTCCTCTTCCTGGCTTTCACTTGTGCTAGGATTACTCACACCCATCATTCCCATACTCATTCTAGATATTATTGTGCTCTGGAGAGTGTCTCTAGAGACGCAGGCACAGTTTGTATGATTGTAGAACTGCATCCTCACTACTTTCATGGAGCCATCCGCTTTGTGAAGCTGGAAAGTAAAGAAATATACTGATTTTAAATAGGTGTCATAGTCTTACATTCGTTAGAGTTGGTTTATTTTGTTTTGTTGTATTAGAAAAGACATCATTTGATATTCCGTGTAGTGCAAGAATTTTCGAATAGTAATGGCAAAGAACTCATCTGTATGAGATACAACAACAACTGACAACTAAACCAATTTTAAAAAATCGTTCACTAATGCAAAGCTATATTATCAGGGAGTAACCGACATACACGCGGGCAATAGCTAGTCTTTAATATGTAACGCCTTAATTGTAAACCAAAAATTATATAATAAATTATTAGTTCATTTATTGGTTTATATCATCATCATCATCAGCTCTGCTGGGCATAGGCCTCTCCCATTGCACGCCACTTGATGGATTTTGGGCTTCTCGCATCCAGCTCCTGCCAGCCATCTCGCGCAAATCGTCACTCCACCTGGCCTGATTGATTTACATGCATTGCAAATACTTACATAAAAAGGTAAAAGGATATATTCTCCTCCAATGGGTGCGCAGACGTCTTCCTCGTTGGTGCAGCAGCCGGAGTCAGGAGCACAGCGATGCAGCTGGACACAGGGTGGTGTGTAACTGGAAATAGTAAAAATATTATATTAGAATAAACCGAATAGTCTTTCAACAGAACTTTGTTTTCACCTACTTGGACTGTGGAGGTCTAATGGTAGTTGCTCCGCGTAAAAAAATTAATAGTAGACTCAAATCGACCCAACCTAATATGGGCAAAGACTCGAAGGAAGGACGAATTATAAATGATATTTATTTCTGTAAGTAAATCTTTATAGATATTTTTAGAAGTCCGGACTATACAGATAGAAGAAGCCGCCATTTCCTAAAACTCACTTTGGGAAGAAACGCCGAAACCAACCACAGAGGCCTTTTTTTTAGTCCGTAAACTAAAGTTAAATAAAAATGTGCGAGCATAGTATAGGGTCTGGGTTGGCCTTTTGAAGAAAGGACCATAGTTTTGAGTCGGCCTGTCTATACAAACGGCATACAGGCGCCAGGCATAGTGTAGCTTAACCGATATTGGTTAGAATAAACCCGAGTTTCACTGTTAATTGATCGCCTGATGCCAACACGGACCATTCGTGTTGATATCACTTTACTTCTTCCAAATCTAAAACAGAATGAGCATCCTAGTAATGTACTCATGAGTAAAAATATGTCTTCCATACTTGTTAGTAATATATCCTGTGTCGCGGGGGACAGACTCGGAACAACAATTTGCGGTTCACACAAAGTGTCGTCCCATCTGTATAAACTATGTATAACTATAACTAGTATACACTATGCGGGTATCGGACCCTCAACACTCAGCGTAATAGTAAGCGGCGTGGCGACCGCTTAAACCACTATACCATCCGTGCAGTAAAAAGTATGAAATTTGAGATTTGTATTATACATGTGAAAATTAATTTATTTGTTACGCGTTCACGCCTAAACCACTAATGCGATTTAAAAAAAATATTTCACCAATGGAAAGCTACATTATCAGCGAGTAACATAAGCTAAATTTAATATTTTACAATTTTAGCAACTAATACTTTTTATGTTGAAATCATTCCTTCACGTCTAAGGGGGTAAAATAGTATAATAATAATAATTTAGAAACACTAGATTGCTGGCAATAGCCAGTTCATAATAAAGTTGTTCACTCACGCGGTGTCAGCAGCTGGTGCTAGTTGTCTGACGATTAGCCAACGAGGCTGGGGCACCAGACATTCTGATAAGTGTACCATTGCATTTGTTCGCTCCATCACAGCGCTTATTAGCTGACGACGTTCCTTCGGTGACATATTGGCTAAAAAAGAATGTATCACATACTTATTAGATTGCAGTGCTTATAGGGATAGGACTGTGGGAATGTAGGTCCATTCGTAATATTGTTTAGTTGATCAAAATAATAATAATAAATACTTAAGATATCTCACACCCAGTCGTCTGATCCCATAGGCAGAACCTGTACTACGGTAACCAGACTGCTGATAAACATACATATATATTTCTAAATACATTCATAGTATACATGAATTGCGAGTACACAAAGACGTGGAACAAATTATGATCGTACTCATCAAACAATTATTTGTCCTGGGTGGGAATGGAACCCACGACTTTCGGCTTAGCAGTCGGGGTCACTAGATGAGCAGCTCAACAATGCTTGGAATGCGTTACGAAAGTAAAATATTAAAGGCCATTTATAACTGCATTGTATAATTACATTCGGTAAAAAATAATTATGCTTTATAAGGCAAACGAGCAAACCGGTCACCTGATATAGTCAGTGACTACCAGAGACAAATGCAGCACCAGTAACACAAATGCGATGTCGGCCTTTGATTTACCTAACACGCCCCCTACCCCCCGGAGGAGGGAGAGCGTGGTTTAACCCTCCAGTAGCCTCATTCTTTTAGTAACTTTACAAACATGCATGAAATGGACACAAAGAACACGCAGACTCAGAACAACAATTTGATGATCACAAATGTGTTGTTTTATGTGGAGATCGAACGTTCAACACTCAGAGCAGTAGGTAGCCACACTTCAACCACTACGCCATCCGTGCAGTCGATAAAAACGATTTAACGAATAGTCCATATTAAGGTTCCGATTTAATCTCATCTCTGAAATGGAATAAAATATTACTTACGATCGGGTATAATCCTGGGTCTGACATTTGTAGCGGCGATCGACGCGGCAGCCGACACCACTGTTCTGACAGGCCCCAACTTGGTGATTGCTGATGGAGTGACACCGAGAATGGACGGTTTCTCAGTAGAACTGGAATCAGCCAGAACAGCTAGCTCATCGGTGTCCCAATCGTCGTTTATTGGGTAATCTCCGTCAGATATGTCTGGATCCTGGAATTTATAAATTTTCTATATTAAATTTACACCTAGCTCTCATAAATATTTATAAGGAACTCTATTTTTTTTTTAAATCATAATCAGAGTTGTCCCTTATAACATGAGTCTGTCAGTGAGTCTCATGGAAAACGTTCCAGCCATTCCATAGATACGCCAAAAGAAGCGGACTGACTTACAGACAAAATTGTTTTTTTTAATGAAAGTCCAATGTTCAGATTACGTTAGTAAAAAGTTGTCATTATGGTATTAATGTTATGATCCGACTGTAATTTTAAGTGTGACAGATGAGGTGTCAGAACTCAGATCTAGCAGTTTCAGATTTGAAGCCTTTGCAGTGCAAGCATTTAGCTTAGCGATTAACAGAAATATAACAGTCCAGATAAGAAAATCAGTGATTCCAGAATGAACTTCGTGATTGCGACTACATGCCAAATACATCATTTTAATCAAATTACATTAATATATACTTAAAAAGCATTTTTGTCCGTGTGAAGACGGATTAAGAATACGGATTATCACCACTCACTGCACTGCAAAGAGAAGGAAAACTTCAACCAACAAGTCTAGCCAGCGTGGTATAGTAAGCCAAAACTGTGTAAAATAATTTAACTTGTGTTTGTGATATTATTTTACAATGAAATAATTTAGGATTAGGTATAGGGAGTGCCAATACCACCATTCATCCCGTGGGTGTAGTAAGAGCCTACTAAGGGAGCAAACAACGGAACTGCAAAGCGAAGGAAAACTTAAAGCAAACCCTATACCAACCGGCCTGGCCAGCGTGGTATAGTAGGCTTTCTAAAGAGAGGCCTATGTCCAGCAGTGGACTATTAAAGAATAAAAGATACTAAAAAAGGGTATAGTAACAAATTGTGATCAGTATAGTATAGTACAATCGAGTAATATGTATGTACGTGTGTTAGTTGTGTTATGTTGGTATTCAACAGCCTATAATAGTCCACTGCTGGACATAGGCCTCTCCTTAGAAAGGAGCTTTATGTTGGTATTAAGGTACATAATTGCAATAAGATGCATGTTGCCGACAGCATCAACTGCGTTGCAGACAGGTCAGGATCAGCAGGCAACGAAAGCTGCTTATAAACATTCAAAATTTGTACTAGTTTTCCGGTTACGTGTTAAAGGAATAAATTAACAACAAATGCGTATATGCTTAGATCAAAGCCATATTGAACAAACTTGTAATTAAGCCGTATTTAACAGGTATCTTAAGGCTAATTAAGAAATTTATTAAGTGATAAATTATATATGTATAAGGTAAACGAACATTGCTTAAGGTACAGATATGTTTTAAGTAGTTAAAACCTAACTTGTTTTGTCACATAATATATACGTGATTGATTAAGCAGTCACCTCGCCAACTGATAATGCGTGAATTGATTTTTACAGCAGTCGGTTTATAATTGTTGGACTTCTTAACTTCAAAAGTACCTAGATGATCAGATTATCCATATTACTAGAACTCATTATCATCGGCGCATGCGTAACTCATTTATTTTATATACTACAATAGTGCCAAAATTGATAAACTTGAAAAACGGAATAGTTTGTGATGTATTTTATCTACCCTTGTCTTTGCTGACTGTACTTACGTAATTTTATTTTTTTAATTAAAAACAAGAATAAATCTACCACTTGCTAGTTTTAAATTCTATTGTAGTTTTTGGATGTAAAAGCCTAGCCCTAAAAAAAACTAGCCATGTAAAAGATCTAAGAAAAAAAAAGACGTGTGGCACTCGGGGACTGCCGCGGTAAAGCTATTGCATAGCATTTTGTATCAACTTTTGCAATTATAATTATTTATTTATTTTATTTATGCAGTATTTCTTTTTCTTTGATATTAATTCAAGTTACACTTTTTGACTGATAAGAAAACAATTTTTTTTCTTTTATTAAATAAAAATATTGAAGCATATATTACAATTTGTTTTTAAATAAATAAATAAAAAATATTATTATTAAATCAAATTAGATATCCATGTAAGATTTTTCTGCATTATGTTGACGAAATTTCCTTTGACGTTCAGCATTTGATTTTGGTACTGTTTTTTGTTTTGTTTTTAGCGTGAGGTTTTTTTTCGTTACGGAATTTCTGGATTCGGTCCCCGCGCTCAAGGCCCTCGATAGAAGCTATGCAATAGCTTAAAAATTGCTGCTTACTTTGCTATAGAAATGTATGGGCCTAATTAACGGGCAGTAGCAACAGATAATTAAGTAAGTGGGACCAACATATGTAAATAGTGTACTTAAAAATATAATGATGCGTTTGTGCTCCAAAATAGTCAGTCTGTTGGCACCTTTACAGCAAGATTTTTACGAGTTAGTTTTATGTTCTAGCTTTCTGCACTAAAAGGTGGAATGTTATTTATTTATATTGAATTAACGTAAAAGCGAGGTAACTATATTATAAACTAGCTGACCCTGCAAACGTTGTTTTGCTATTTACATTATTAAAAAAAAAAAAAAAAAAAAATTTCTTAAAATCCGTTCTTAGCTGACCTCTACTCGGTGAAAAGAATATTCCTACCAAATTTCAAATCTTCAGCTTTAATGGTTCCAGAGATATCGTGATGAGTGACTATATACGTGGAAATCTCTTATATATATATATACACTCGGTTCAAAAATTACGGGTCAGTCACAAAAATTGAAATACCTCCAGAACTGTAAAAGTTAGATCAATGAAACAAAAACAGAATAAAGACTTTTTAGTTGCGCTTCTAATAGCATATTATTTAAACTGGTTGATGAAAAAAACTTCATTAGAAAAACAAAATTAAAAAAAAAAGACTATTTTTAAAAACAAAATTTTTGTTTCATTTCATTATAGATGCTTTCTATTTCTATTCTGTCACAAAAAAATTTATCGTGAACGTCTTCCACGTGCATAATTATTATTCTGTGAGGTGAAGCATGGCAGTCACGCTAGAGGAATGTACCAGAATCCTAACTTTTTTTGAACTTGGGCGGAGCCAGCGTGAAACAGCCAGAAACATTGATGTATCTTTGTCGACTGTTCAGCGGGTAGTCCAGCGGTACCAAGAGACCGGATCACACCTTAGAAGACCAGGAAATGGCAGACCAAGATGCACAACGGCCAGGGAAGACAGACAACTGGTGGCTACAATGCTCCGAAATCGTTTTCAAACTGCTGTTGGTCTAAAAACTCACTTTATTCGCATTGGAGGTGCCAATTTAAGAGCTCAAACAGTAAGAAGACGTCTTGCTGAAGCAAATTTGAAACCATTGAGGCCCGCAAATGGCCCCAAACTGGAACGGGGACATCGAATTGCAAGACATAAACTGGACACTAGACGATTGGTCTCGGGTAATGTTCACGGACGAGTCTAAATTCATGTTTTATAAGCATGATGGTAGGCAGTTGGTGTACAGAAGACCAGGGGAGCGCTTCCATCAAGCGTGTGTGGAGGAAAAAGTGGCGTACGGTGGAGGCTCCGTACAAGTTTGGGCTGGGATTTCTACTGAGGCCCGCACCGAGCTGGTACTCATTCAGAATGGATCTCTAAATGCAGAGAGGTACGTGGAAGAGATCCTCAATGAACATGTAGGTCCTTTCATGGCCAGGATGGACCGGCATGACATATTAATGCATGATAATGCGCGTCCCCATACCGCCAGAATTGTACATGACTACCTTGAAGAGGTCGGTATCGAACTCATGCAGTGGCCAGCGCGAAGCCCGGACTTAAACCCCTTCGAGCACGCCTGGGACGAGCTTCAGAGATGCGTGAAAGGTCGAAACCCCCCACCAATCACGCTTCCCGAGCTCAAACAAGCACTGGTGGAGGAATGGGAAGGTATTCCTCAGCACCGGCTCCGAAATTTGGTGTACAGCATGCCTAATCGCCTGGAAGGTGTCAGAAGAGCTCGTGGAGGCAAAACAAAGTATTAAATGAAGAAAGTGATGAAAAACAGCAAAAAAAAAAAAATCATAAAAAAATTTAATCTTAAGAAAAATATGACTACTTTAGTTTTTTTTTTAATTTAGAGATAAGTTAAGAGTTAGAAAGTTTAGATTTAAGTTTTATTTTAATTTTTATCTGTATAATTAAATTCTCAATTGAACAGTCTTCGTTTCATTAGGATGGCATACGTAGTTCGGGAGATATTCGGGTTTATGTGACTGACCCGTTATTTTTGGAACCGAGTTTAGATTATTATATGTAGATAGATAAAGAAATAAGTGCTAGATTTTTTCTTGTAAAGTAAATACATAACGAGAAACTTGGTTTAGTGGTTAGTGATCCGGTATGCTAAGCTAGAGGTCGTGGTTTCGATCCAACCCAGGACAAATATTGTATTATGAGCACGATCATTTGTTCTGTGTTTGGATGTGATATTATCTATAATGACTGCACGGATGGCGTAGTGGTTTAAGCGGTCACCTTGCCGTTTCCTACTGCGCTGAGTGTTGTGGGTCCGATCCCCACATGGGACAACACTTCGTGTGATTTACAAATTGTTGTTCTAAGTTCTTTGTGTTGGTTTATTGTATGTTTGTAAAGTTGCCGCGACACAGGATATAATCCTAGTGCGGGAGTTGTCTTTTTTAATGAAAAGAATATATCGCAGTCCCCGACGAACAAAATCGTAATAGGAAAATGACAATTTTACAGGAGCAAAATAAAAACTGAATATCTTGAATACTATCAAGACTAAAAAGAAGATTCTTTTATCAAAAATAAGGGAATATTTTTTTGCACTAGATTTTTACTAAATTTTTATCATAAATTTTCTTTATCAGTAAGAAAATTGTGAAAATGTCCATTACTGAAATAAGCTATGGAAAAAATTAACGCAAACTAACTTTACGATAGTGTTCGACTGTAATCACAAATCGGTGTTGCTGTAGTAATCGTTCATTATGATATTGTTCCATGGTAAATATGAATATACTTTCTATTCGTAAAATGACATTGCAATCGTATTCGATGATATAACTGACTTTAATATTACGGTAAACATAAATTACATGCTTATTCGATGATAATTTTTAGGTGTTATGAAAGGCAAGCAGCAAAATTAACCATTTCGGTACCTATGTATAAATAAAGTTTTTATGTGTCTGTGGCGACTCCCACATACGAAAAACAGAAACATACTACAACGCCATCTAATGAAGACACACCGAACTACGGAGTAACTACTAAAATAAGAATAGCTAATCCTGTATCGCGATATAAAGAATTCCCTCGCCGATTAGCATATATACAACTTCCCAACATCAACCGTTGGGCCGCGGCCCGCCAGGCATGATCACCTCGCCTGGTCGGAGGATCCTCCCTTTGTGTTGGAGGGACATGACACCCGTTCCTCCACATATCTATTACTTTAAATTTGACATTATTTATCTATTTATGTTTTGATGCATATTGTATTAATTTTACAGGGTTATTTGTAGCCGGGCACGCCGTCATCGCGGCGGTAAGACCCGTTAGGGAGGATTGGCTCGAGAGGCGTCACGGGACCCTCTGGCGCAGGTGATCTCTGGGAAAGGATGTTTCGGGGATCACCTGTGTCTGATCCGCAAGGAGCCAACGCCTGAGTGCCACCACTGCGATGGCCAGACCGTGGACACGGATCTCCACACGCTGGCAGAGTGCCCGGCGTGGGTTGAGCGGAGGCGAGACCTCGTGGCGGCCATCGGAGTGGGAGTTCTCTCGCTCGATAGCCTGATTGCGGCTATCGTGCGGAGCGAGAGTGCGTGGAACTCTGCCGTCTCCTTCTGCGAGCAAGTTATACTCGCGAAGGAGACGGCGGAGCGGGACCGGGAGAGGTTTAGAACTCTCCCGGCCCGCCAGGACCTTTCCCGGGCCAGGTACCGCAGGCGACTCAGGCGCCGTAGGTCGCGGAACGACCTCCGTCCTCCATAAGCGCGGGCCTGGGGGTGACAGGTGAGGCTGTCTGTCACCCTAGCAGAAGCAGGCCGGGGTGGCGCTTCCAGGGAGCAGAGGGAACATGGTGTTTCCACGCGTGGGGGGGGGGGGGGTCGTCTACTCGTCTGTAGATGGCCCGAGGTATGTCGGGGCACCAGGGACTTCCTTTCTAGGGTATACCTGGTTCCCCGGCTATTAGTACTCGAGACGGCGTGCGGTTTTAGTCGGTTCGTGTCCGACATGCCACCGATAGGGTATTGCCGCACGGAAAAAAAAAGAAAAAGGGTTATTTGTAGCACTGTAAATTGAACCTAAATATTGTCAGCTTATAATTTAGCGAGTTTTCAATTGGTCAAGACATACAATTGTTACTAAAATTAAAAATGCGAAAGTAACTCTGTCTGTCTGTGTAGCTTTCACGCTAAAAGTACTGAACCGATTTACATTAAATTAGTACACAGATACCCTAGAGCCTTAGGAAGGACATATACTACTTTTAAATGCAAAAAAGGGGTGTAAGAGAGCCTTGGTGATAGATACCGATAAACATTTTTGAGTGTTTGTAAATCAACCTGGCCAGGGACGCGTTTCCGTCCTCGTTTGGGTTTGTTTAGTTGAAGTTTTGTATCCAACTCGAATGAATCATTGTCGAAGTCATACTTATACTGTAAAATTGTTGGTTTCAAATAAGAAACTCCCACCTCCGTCAATTTCGACCACTGAATTTATCGGCCTTGGGTGTCGTTTAACCAATTCTTTCCACTAATAAGATTCTGTCATTTTTCCCTCGAACAATATGGTAATAGCCGCTTACTCTAAAATATTGACTTTTGAGATTTGGTAATAGGTTTTTGCGTTATTAATCGTGTAAATTTTTCACTTATGTTATACGTAGAACAAAAACATAAAGATCATTATTGAATGGATAAATCCAAAAGTATTCATCGCCCGATCATAAAAAAAACTCAATGATTGTAATAGGGTGTGTAGATAACGAATATTTAATAAACCCGATTCTATCGTAATAGCGATTACCATAGTGTTCGTCAGGGAACTGCGATATATATGTTTAGAAATAGTTTAGTTTGGGATCAGACAGTCGTGTGAGAATTAAATAGATATCACACTTAAATAGACATAGTAGGAAGATAAGTAAATTAGTAAATAGTGATCAAACTACTGTAATGTAAAATATGTAACTTGTGTGAAATAACCTTAATTTGGAGCTTAAAGTATCAACAACATAATGTACCCTGTACACCCTGTCCTGATTGGTCAACCGATAAGCCAAGGTGTCACTTATAATCACATTACTCACAAGAACCTTAACTAGACTATGTTACGTCTAGTTTACAATTAGTTCTGACTCAATATGGAGAACTCAGTCATTCATAACTAGTTTACTCAATTTACGCGGTAACATTTTCACATGGCGCGACCTACAATCGATTTGGTGTGACATAGTTTATAGCCCAGCTTGTTATTTATTATCTGTAGTAGTTTTGCCAGCAGTTTACACTATGACGCATAGAATAACATAATCGTACTATATACAAAAGGAATAAAAAATTCGTGTGGACTAGTGGAATAAGATATCCTGCATATTGTTGGAAGTCTCAGCAAACTAGGGTTTTTTTTTTTTTATTAGAATGCGATAGATACAAGGACTTGTTTTGAGCTTAATGGAAGACTTTGCCATATGGACAATAACCTAAGAATCCAGGCAACGTAAAACTGTTTTTTGGAAAACAAAGCAATCATAAATGGTATTTCGTATGCCATTCTCGCTTTGTTAAAATAAGCCAGGAGTATGTGGTATGTTTCTCTGTTTCATCGTATGTGGAAGTCCTCACAAGTAAAACGTCTAAAAAATTTGCTGCTTACTTTGCTAAGCGCAATACAAACTTTCGTGGATGAATAAAATATAATAATATATATTTTACGACATGTGACACACAACGCCATCTAGTTCCAAACTAAGCAAAGCTAGTACTATAAAAGCTAGATTGGCTGATAGAATTCTTATATATTATTATTATTTTTGAAATAGATACACATTATATATAGAAAACACCCAAACTCCGAAACAAATATTTACAAACCACACAAACATTTGGTCCGACCTAGGGATCGAACCCGAGACCTCAGTACAGCAGTCCCATACGCTACCACTGCACCGCCGAGGCAGTCAATGGACGTGACGTCCCTTTAATATGAAAGGCCGAAAGCCGTGGCCCAACGGTTGATATTGGGAAGTTGCATATTTACTAATCGGTTTCAAATTGTGCGGTGTAGAATTCATAGTTATTCAGTAGTATCTGTTTATCAAATTTGCGTTGTACATCGAAGTTGCCACACTTTTCACCAAACCCCATTTGAATTCTAAATGGAAGAAATATATCTATCTATATATATATATTTGCATATGAAAAATTAACACATGCACAAGTCATAAAACGCATATTATAATAAACATTTAAGTGCACGGATGCTGATGTCTAAGTGGCCATGTCGTCAATTGCATCGCGTCGAATGATGGAGGTCGATGCTCACATTTGACCAACATTTATGTGATTTACATGTGATTCCCACTTGTGTCTGTCAGTCTTATGATTGTGAAGTACCCTGCGTCATACTTAAATTTATTTTAATTTATTTTTATATTAATAACGCGGGAGTTATTACAAAATCATTTCTTGAAGTAATTTTTGCCCAAATCGGAATGAATGATATTCGCCTGAATCCCTTATTTGTTTCTCCAGCTACTTTGAGCAGCTCGCTGGTCTTACTAATATCAGGACGTTTAGTTGCGCTGTTAAGTTCCATGATGCTACTGGAGAACTTTTTTTCCCAACGGGTTGGCTCTTATCCTGATTGAATAGCCTGGCGTGCTCACTTTCTGAGTAAGGCCTACGAAGTGACGAAGATGACTCGTTCCATATGCACACCTTTGTTGACAACTCCGATGTAAAATAGCTTTGTCAATAGCTACTCGTAAATGTACACAAACGGAGTTAAGTGATGTATTCAGCTTTGATGTTGATGCCGAACTTTTTCCAATTCGAGAGTAATCCTAGTTTTGGAACTAGCATTAGTGATAATGTCCGTGTGGTAACGGATTAAGAATACGGATTGTCACCACCACCAATCATCCCGTGGGTGTCGTAAGAGAAGACTAAGGGAGCAAACTAAGCAGGACAACAATATTACAAAGAGAAGGAAAACTTGACACAAACCCTATACCAACCCGTCTGGCCAGCGTGGTATAGTATGCCAAAACCTACTTTCTAAGGAGAGGCCTTTTTTTTTTTTTTTTTTTTTTTTTTTTTCCGTGCGGAAATCCCCTCGGATACCACCTGTCGGTGGCATGTCGGACACGAACCGACTAAAACCGCACGCCTTCGCCGGGTACTAATAGCCGGGGAACCAGGTATACCCTAGAAAGGAAGGCCCTGGTGCCCCGACATACCTCGGGTTATCTACAGACGAGTAGACGACCCCCGCCCCGTGTGGGAACCCCATGTTCCCTGTGCTCCCTAGAAGCGAGCGCGCTTCGCAACGCGCTCGTCGCCACCCCGGTCTAAGGAGAGGCCTATGTCCAGCAGTGAACTGTTGAAGACTGTTGATTATTGATGATTATTAGTAATAAGTTGTAGTATTCGACTGGCTATAAGAACTATTGGTGCTCTGATAAGAATAGAATTTCTATTTAACAATTTTCCGATAGAAACTACACGAAAATAATCTAAAGGTTTACATAGCTTATAATTTTTTTACGCTTTTGAACACAACCATGATCTCGATTATCTAAATGTGATCGCTGGGTTTCATTTTAAAGAAAATCAGAGAAGCCAGTTGTTTGTATCCACATCGAAACCAGAAACATTCCAAAGTTAAGCTCCTAACGCTACAAACATGGTATTGTACCATTCCTGAGTCTCATAACATTAAACCTCAATTCAATTGGACATAATTGATAAATAATTCAACGTTAAATCGCGAGCATGTCTAGTTAAGTACAAATCCGTGTAATTCGAGTCAGAGTTCAGGAATGCCAAGCACAGCGTTGAGCCCGCTGCCCAGAATAGCCTTACTATTAATAGATACATCTGTTTCTTTTCAAAGCACCTACGGTAATGACTCTATTAATCTCTTTAAAGTAAAAATAAAGAAACATATGAAGTTAGTTTTAGGGAAGTTAAAAATATTAAATAAGAGTTATTTTATGGTGTTGGTTTGGTGATCGAAATTAATTGGTAAATGTTTACACGTATTTATGAGACCTTGTCTTCAAGGTGGAGGTGGATCACTGTGTCGCTCAATTTCTTACGGGTCATGGTAACTTTAAGAGCAAGCTTTATTCATTTAAATTAGTCAAGTCACCATTGTGTCAATGCTCAACACCTAACTCTCACTATGAACAGTCTGCTCATCATATCCTCTGGGAATGTAGTCTTTGGTATAATGAACGTAATATAATGCTGAATAGCTTGCAGGTGACATCTGGGGCGGTATACTATGGGGATCTTGTGTCAACTAGGGTGAATTTCCGTGCGTTTAGGCGATTCTGCCATACATATTATAGAAATCAAACATAGCTCACGTAGGACCCGTAATATTTGTGGCCGTGGTGCTCCCCTGTTTAAAAGGGTGTATGCCCATTTTAGTTCATTTTGTCTCCCGCTTTGCTAAGGAGGGAAGTGGATTTACTGTATTTCCAACTCCTCCAATTTTCTTCTGATTAATTTCGTTGCGGGTTCCAAAACAGTTTAATTTCTTCCTGGGACTTCCCGAGTGTCATAACTCGGTGTGTTCGTGGGTCACTGCTGTGGATCCTGGTGTCCAGGAGTTACAGTGGTGGGCGTGTGGGCGGGATTAGTCCCATCAAAGACCTTGTCTTTACAAAAATAATACTATAATTAACCTCACATAATTTCGCCTTAAAACCACCATCCAAAAATGGCTAATACCTAAGGACTATGGCGATTTCGAAAATGTGCTACAGATTGATATCTAATATCACGCGCGCACCATCTTACACGTAGAAACACGTGTGTACGCACATACACGCACACATCATCATCATCATCAACAGCCTATAATAGTCCACTGCTGGACATAGGCCTCTCCTTAGACAGGAGGTTTTGGCCTACTATACCACGCTGGCCAGACGGTTAAAAATATTTACGCTGGCCAAAAAATATTTGAAAGGTTTTTATGCCACGCAACACTTCTCTTTTCACTTAAACGTTTTCATTTTATCCTCAGCATGGGCCTTAACCCTTGCTCTGGGTTGTTTATGGTATAGGAGGCAAACTAGCGGACGTGTCATCTGATGGTGACTACCCCGCCGCCCATGGATATCTGCAACTCAAAACCCAATAGTGTCTTGCCGCCCTTTGACGCCAGTATCGCGGGGAGGGGGGAATGGGGTCCAGTTACCTCACTCACTCAATGAAAAGCTACTGAAGAATTGCTTACTACTGATTTTCTGTGAAGCCGTGGTATTGGTATTGTTATTGGTTTTGGGCTCCGGTTTCCGCATTCAGACTCAAGAATGGTTATTTATGCGTCGAGGACAGGTTGGCTAGGTGAGCCAACCAAGCTCCTTTCAGAAGCGCAGAAGCCTCCTGGGGCGTTCAGAGGGTTCTCGGAGTGATTTTGTATCAGGAATGATATTTGCCTATTGTGTGGCTTCTGTGGCGACTCAATCGCATTATAGGATTACGTGGGCGGCCGTTTCTTCTGTTTTCAGACATCCTCTGCAAAGAGGACTGTCCGTCGCATTAATGGTGAATAGATGTCGGCTCAGGGCTAGGTTTCCTGTTATAGTTACTACAACTATTCGGATGTCTATTTTGCTAAGACTGATCAATCTGCAGATGAGTCGTGGTGTGACTTCAGTCAGCACTAGTTTCGACTGTCTGCAGCCGGGTGAGGCCGTGGTACTCAAGTAGAGCCAGCCCATTCATGCGGAAGCATGGCTGCCCCATGAATATAGAGTGAGATCTGTTCCTTATGATGGTATTTTCCTCCAAATCAAGCCGTGCCTAAGTAAGTTTCATTTACACACGTAAAAAGTGACTAATTAAACAACACAGGTCAGAGTTTTTCAAAAGACGGCATCAAAATTCAAAAACTGATTTTATCATTTCTCTTGTTGGCACCTTTTACCAACTCATACTCATTTATTTGCTTTATTTGCTCTACTGTCCTAATGCTAGATCTAATTTTTTACTTCCTGCTAACCAACAGAAAGTGAAAGCACTACAGTAATAGGCACATTAGTACCAGCTAACTGGCGATTGCCTATATAACGAGGCTTCATGGATGTCCACCTTAGTGGTAATATAATAATTTAATAATAATTATGACGTTTCTTTCTACTGCAGTAGTCTCTTTCCTTCCTATTTTCATAACAAACATCTAAAACACTTCACAAGAATTTTAGAACACATAATTTAGCATCTAATCTTGGCATGTCCAATTCTAGAGTGCAGGCATTCGCCACAATGATTAACGTGCAACACTACATTGAAAATAAATCATATTCTTTCGTCAACAAGGTTTAATTTAGTGTGTATAGTTTGAGCAGTAATTTCGCCGAGATTGCTACTGCCTCGTAAAATTCCAAGGCACCTGTTTAGGTTCAAGGAAATGTTTTATTCGTTTTAGCACTTATTTATTACCTACAGGAACATTCGGTTGCACAGCAGAGCGAAAGTGTAACTGAGATATAGGACTCACTATCTAGGGCTTGCAGTGCACTGCGGACGGTGAACCCGCTGTTTTAACAGACTCCCAAGGATACTAAGGAGATTCTCAATTGGACCGTACTTTTACGACCACAGACTAGTACTAAAAGTAAGAATGTTTATTTTTCTCGTCTATCTTATACCGTCTCGTTATGATTGGTATTGTTAGATGTTTTTTTTCAAAAATATCGAGAAAGTTTGTAGACTATTTTGTGATTAGACCCTAAATATTATTAAGTGTCCACTCGGCAGCCGTAGTCACTTACTATCTGCTGACCCGTCTGGTCGTTTGCTTTCTAAAAAACCGGGCAGTGCCAAAATGAAAATTTTAAATTCTTTAAAATCTTCAAAATCTTGAAAATTCTAAATAAAAATAGTTTAACAAGCATGCGTAAATTTTTATAAAACGCTCAATTTACCTACTTGGCAAAATTCCTTCAAAATGCTTCCATTGGATCTTCAGAAAATCGTTAGTAAACTAATTACTAATATGAAGTTGATTCTTGGCTAAAACGGGAAGTAATAAACCACAAATACTTACGGAATAGCTCGACACGCACTTGACTGGTTTTTATTAATCATACAACTATCCGACCCTACAGATTGTCATGGCTTTGATGAAAAAAACAGAATAACAAAAACAGCGTTACCTACCGGCTAACCTATAGTTAACGACCATAGAACTGCTCATGTTAGAACAAAAAATGCCAAGAAAAATGCCCACCACACGCTGGAGTATAAATGTAAAGATATCAATGTCAATGCAGCAGGACGTATGTACACCAAATCGGGTATTTCAAGTTTAATACTTAATACTGTAGAAACAGGTCGCAAAATTCCATTACCAGACAGTTTTTATGACATTCTTGACTGATCTTCGTGTACGATCACCTTGTATGTTAACTGGTAGGGACACTCAAAGTCCCAGTTTGGATTATAAGGAATTTGGAATGTGCATCTTTATTTTTCTTCTGTCATTCTTAAAGACATGGTAAATATTTTTGGTGTACTTTTTAAACGACATCAAAAAAGGAGCTTCTTAGTAAGCTAATTTTTGGTCTGTATTTTTAT